AGGCCGGGATAGGCGTACACTTCACAAGTCGTCGTGATGAAGAGAGCGCACAGTCAGCTATGCACGCATGTTCCAGACTAGTCGGATCATGGACCGGTGGCTTTGAAAGGGAGGCAAGCGAGCCTGTGGCACAGCTGCAACTGGGGCTCAGGCGTGCGATAGAAACCAGTAGTTCACGACAGCTCGACGCGATGGATACACCGGTACTTTTCAGCGCCTTAAACTGCACTTGCCGGACGGCAGCAAAGAAATGGACACGTCTACCCCACAACCTGAAGCTGGCCATTTCGCAGTTCACGAGACGCTCGGATTGGGCACTGAGGCTAGGACACCTAGCGCTGATCGGTGCACTCTCCAGGTACCCGATGCTGGCTTCGAGAGCCACAGACGACTTCGACTTTGGCCGGCGACTCCAATACTTTTCAGTCCAGGATCTACAAGGGCTTCCGAGAAACACCAAGAAGACCATCCGTCTCTGCATCGCGAACCTTCGGGCTTTCGAGAAGAAGAAGAAGCAGAAGGAGAGGACAGAGCTCCGGAAGCAGAAGCAGGAGGAACTCCTGAGACGGAAATTCGAAGCAACAAAGATTGTGGTCGAGCGCGCGGCCGAAGCTCTGATAATGATCAGAGAACACATTCGCCGTAGGACACCTAGCTGAAGGACATTGTTTCACACGTGACACAGCAATAACACGGGAAGAAAGGTGAGTTGCGAGAATACATAGATCGTCTTACGTCAGTGTCCGGTGACATTATCTGCAAGCACGATGGGATTGCGAGGCTTGCCTGAAGAAGACAGAAGCAAGGACACGGCCGGGAGGGCTTATCCTCGACCAATATGGGGTTCCGAGATCTGGAAGCTCAGGCTGAAGAAGACGGAGGCGAGGACAAGGCCGGGAGGGCTTATCCTCAACCAATATAAGGTTGCAAGGCGTGAGAGCTCAAGCTGAACGAGATGGATGCAAGGACACGGCCGGGAGGGCGTAACCCCAACCAATAAGGGGTTCCGAGGCGTGGGATCTCAAGCAGAAGACGGCGGAGGCGAGGACGAGGCCGGAGCACTTATCCTCAACCAAGATGGAGCTTCAGGTTCTCAAGCAGGAGACGGCGGAGGCGGGGACGAGGCCGGAGCACTTATCCTCAACCAAGATGGGGTGCCAGGTGTGTAGTCTCAAGCCGAGAAGACGGCGGAGGCCGGGACGAGGCCGGAGCACTTATCCTCAACCAAGATGGGGGTTCAGGTGCATGGTTTTAAGCTGAGAAAACGGCCGAGGCGGGGACGAGGCCGGAGCGCTTATCCTCAACCAATATGGGCTCCACGAGGCCGGAGCGCTTATCCTCAACCAACATGGGCTCTCAGGTGTGTGGTCTCAACCCGAAGAAGGCGGAGGCAGGGACGAAGCCGGGAAGCCTTGTCCTCAACCAATATGGGCTCCCAGGTGCGTGGTCTCCACCCGAAGAAGGCGGAGGCGGGGACGAAGCCGAAGAGCTTATCCTCAACCAAGATGGGGTTTCAGGTGCTTGATCTGAAGCTGAGAAGACGCCGGAGGCCGAGACGAAGCCGGAGCGCTTATCCTCAACCAAGATGGGGTTTTAGGTGCTTGGTCTGAAACTGAGAAGACGGCGGAGGCGGGGACGAAGCCGGAGCACTTATCCTCAACCTAGATGGGGTTTCAGGTGCTTGGTCTGAAGCTGAGAAGACGGCGGAGGTAGGGACGAGGCCGGAGCGCTTATCCTCAACCAAGATGGGTTGTCAGGTACACGGTTTTAAGCGGAGAAGACGGCGGAGGCGGGGACAAGGCCGGAGCACTTGTCCTCAACCAATATGGGGTTTCAGGGAAGGCGGAGGCGGGGACGAAGCCAGAGCGCTTATCCTCAACCAAGATGGGGTTTCAGGTGCTTGGTCTGAAGCTGAGAAGACGGCACAGGCGGGGACGAAGCCGGAGCGCTTAAGTCTCGGGTGCATGGTCTCAAGCCGAGGAAGACGGCGGAGGCGGGGACGAGGCCGGAGCACTTGTCCTCAACCAATATGGGGTTTCAGGGAAGGCGGAGGCGGGGACGAAGCCAGAGCGCTTATCCTCAATCAAGATGGGGTTTCAGGTGCTTGGTCTGAAGCTGAGAAGACGGCACAGGCGGGGACGAAGCCGGAGCGCTTAAGTCTCGGGTGCATGGTCTCAAGCCGAGGAAGGCGAAGGCGGGGACGAGGCCGGAGCGCTTATCCTCAACCAAGATGGGGTTTCAGGTGCACGGTTTTAAGCTGAGAAGACGGCGAAGGCACGGACGAGGCCGGAGTGCTTGTCCTCAACCAATATGGGGTTTCAGGGAAAGCGGAGGCAGGGACGAGGCCGGAGCGCTTATCCTCAACCAAGATGGGGTCTCAGGTGCACGGTTTTAAGCTGAGTAGACGGCGAAGGCACGGACGAGGCCGGAGTGCTTGTCCTCAACCAATATGGGGTTTCAGGGAAAGCGGAAGCGGGAACGAGGCCGGAGCCCTTATCCTCAACCAAGATGGGGTTTCAGGTGCGTGGTCTGAAGCTGAGAAGACGGCGAAGGCGGGGACGAGGCCGGAGCGCTTATCCTCAACCAAGATGGGGTTTCAGGTGCACGGTTTTAAGCTGAGTAGACGGCGAAGGCACGGACAAGGCCGGAGTGCTTGTCCTCAACCAATGTGGGGTTTCAGGGAAAGTGGAGGCAGGGACGAGGCCGGAGCGCTTATCCTCAACCAATGTGAGGTCCGAGGTGTGCGGTCTTAACCTGAGGAACGCAAGCCAGGGACGAGGACGGAGGGTTTATCCTCAACCAATATGGGGTCCCAGTCCGGGACGAGGCTGGAGGGCTCATACTCGACCCACATGGGGTCTTGGGTGCGTGAGAAGGCGAAGGCGGGGACGAGGCCGGAGCGCTTATCCTCAACCAAGATGGGGTTTCAGGTGCACGGTTTTAAGCTGAGTAGACGGCGAAGGCACGGACGAGGCCGGAGTGCTTGTCCTCAACCAATATGGGGTTTCAGGGAAAGCGGAGGCGGGGACGAGGCCGGAGCGCTTATCCTCAACCAATGTGAGGTCCGAGGTGTGAGGTCTCGACCTGAGGAACGCAAGCCAGGGACGAGGACGGAGGGCTTAGCCTCAACCAATATGGGGTCCCAGTCCTCCGGTGCCAGGCGAAGAGGTGCAGCCGCCACGCTTATCCTCAACCAGAATGGGGGCCAGGGGGAAGAGGCGCAGCCGCCACGCTTATCCTCAACCAGAGGTGCGTGGTCTCTCCAAGAAGATCGGCTTATCCTCAACTAATATATAGGTGCGTGGTCTGAACTCGAAAAAAGGATGGAGGCGGGGACCAGGCCGGGGCGAGCATCCTCAACCAATATGGGGTCCCAGGTGCCTGGTCTCCACTCCAAGAAGACCGAGGCGGGGACGAGGCCGGAGCGCTTAACCTCAACCAATATGGGGTCCCAGGTGCGTGGTCTCCACTCGAAGAGGACGGAGGCCGGGACAAGGTCGGAGCACTTATCCTCAACTAAGAGGGGTCCCAGGTCCGTGGTATCAACTCGAAAAGGATGGAGGGGACAAGGCCGAAGTGCTTATCCTCAACCAATACGGGGTCCCAAGTGCGTGGTCTCCATTGCAAGAGACCAAGGCGGGGACGAGGTCGGAGCGCTTATCCTCAACCAATGTGGGGTCCCAGGTGCGTTATCCACAATTAATATGGGGTTGCCGGTGGAGCGCTTATCCTCAACCAATATTGGGTCCCAGGTGCGCGGTGTCAACCTGAAGAAGACGGAGGCGGGGACAAGGCCGGAGCGCTTATCCTCAACCAATATGGGGTCCCAGGTGCGTTATCCTCAACCAATATGGGTCCCCGGTGCGTGGTGTCAACCTGAAGAAGACGGAGGCGGGGACAAGCCCGGAACGCCTATCCTCAACCAATATGGGGTCCCAGGTGCCTGGTCTCAACCTGAAGAAGACAGAGGCGGGGACAAGGCCGGAGCGCATATCCTCAACCAACATGGGGTCGCATGTGTGATCATGTGTGTTATCCTCAGCCAATATGGGGTCCCCGGTGCGTGGTGTCAACCTGAGAAGACCAACCTGAATGGAGGTCGAGAGGTGCAACTGCCATGCTTGAATGCGGGTCGGGAAGCGCAGCCGCCACGCTTATCCTCAACATGAATGGGGGTCGGGAGGTGCAGCCGCCACGCTTATCCTCAACCTGAATGGGCGGCGGGAGGTGCAGCTGCCACGCTTATCCTCAACCTGAATGGGGGTTGGGCACTTACCCTGAATCGGAGGTCGGGAAGCGCAGCCGCCACGCTTATCCTCGACCTGAATGGGGGTCGGGAGGTGCTCCTCAACCTGAATGGGCGTCGGGAGATGCAGCTGCCACGCTTATCCTCAACCTGAATGGGGGTTGGGCGCTTACCCTGAATCGGAGGTCGAGGGCGCAGCCGCCACCCTTATCCTCAACCTGAATGGGGGTCGAGAGGTGCAGCTGCCACTAATATGGGATGGTCTCACCCAGCCAGCGAGTTTCCGAGGATAGGAGGCTCCTGGATTCACTTTGTTAGTCTTGACAGTTTCTGGCAGAAAGCCAAAACGGACATGCATGTCTAGCAGTTCTTGAATTCAGAATCGTTGCTAGCAGGTTGCCTTGTGAAAGTGCACAGCGCAGCATCCTGTGACAGCACATCCTTCAAGGCCGCCGCCACAGCATACTGAGTCTCAAACTGCTATCTAGCTTCAACAGATATCACTCGCCCGTGGTCCGGTGCGAGCCTCAGATATGGAAGCCTTCACCATTGTCGTCACAGACGGTCAGCTTTGCCGCAGCCCCGTGCTTCTCAGGTCGACTGGTGCGACAATGATGTCCGACGTCATGGACGAAGACTTCCAGAGCACAGACCACTCGATCCACGACGCCGACCAGGCGGACTGTGAGGACGGGTTCGATGATTGGGACTGGGTCGAAACAGAGATGCAGCGCGAAGCCGAAGAAGATGCACGTGAGGGAATACAGTGGGACAGAGAAGTGGAGATGCAGAAAGAGTTCAACGAGCGTCTTGCCAACTTGACGGTGCGGTACCTGAACTTGCAAGGTGCCGAAGTCCATTCTTCGAAGCCTTACCGCCCGCTCTGCCAACTCGAACCACCCGGATCTTTCCGAGAAGCTTGGCTCGCTCAGTTGCACGAGGGCAACAACCCCGATCGCTGGCTATCCCTGCAAGAGCTACGTGTCAGACGGCAGGAGACCAAGAAGCCAATCCCGGCAGAGACGCTGCAGTATCGCAGCGCCAGAGAAGTCCTGCTGCACGACTTGGACAGCAGTCCTGCAGGACCCATTCCCCTCGAAGCCACAAAACTCGTGTTGAAGGGAGATGTGATCGCAGACGTCTGGAGCTGGCATGAACTCCTGGACCGCAGCTTCAACGGCGAGGTCCTGGAGGTGCAGGTCGTCTACGCATCGAGGGACGCATGAGTTCCTGGATCGCAGCTTCGGCAATGACGTCGTGGACATGGAGGTTCTCTATGTGACACGCCACAGACCGTTACAGCTCCGAGTGTGAGCAGCAGCAAACGAAAAATGGGGCTAGTGCCGCAGTGTCGTTGCATGTCAGATAGATTGTAGACTACAGACAAAGATTCGGTGTATGAAGGTAGTCGTGATTACGCAGATTGGTTTGCCCGGCAGAGAGCGAACAAACGACCACTGACATGCCTGATACTGTGATACTTGATCGCAGCCGTGCGGATACAACCTAGCTGAGTTTAGGAACCGCAAATTCGCAATTCGTTACGATGGCGCCTTGTCACCGGTGCGGCTGGCCACGAAGGGGCCGAGGACAAGGATGGTGCAGCAATCTGCAGTGCCGCCAAGCCGAGAAAGAGGAGAACCTCCGCCGGAAGAGCGAGGAGAAGAGTGCTCGACAGCAGCAACGTGCAGCACAGGGAGCAGGCAGCCGTGGCCCGACGCCCGGCCGTGGCGGTCGCCCGGGAGAAGAAGACAGTGCTCGGGCCCAGAGGCGCGATTCGCAGGCCGAGCGGGCCGAGGAGGGAGCAGGCAGCCGCGGGCCTCTACCGGTTGCAGGAAGCACACGTGCACAAAGGCAAGAACTGCAGGCCGAGCGGGCCGAGGAGGGAGCAGGCAGCCGCGGGCCTCTACCGGTTGCAGGAAGCACACGTGCGCAAAGGCAAGAACTGCAGGCCGAGCGGGCCGAGGAGGGAGCAGGCAGCCGCGGGCCTCTACCGGTTGCAGGAAGCACACGTGCGCAAAGGCAAGAACTGCAGGCCGAGCGGGCCGAGGAGGGACTGGGCGGACGGGGACCAAGACCCATCGCCACCGAGGCGGAGCAACGAGGCTACCCGTTCCCGGACGAGGAGACCTTGAGTCCGGAACAAGTACAAGAGCGGTACCTGGCCTTCACTCGCAGCTGGGGAAGGTTTGGCTTGTCCAGACTTTGTGCAGCTTGTAGCACGCTCGCCCCAGCAAAACATTGCAGGAAGAGCGGACCCTCAGGACAGATGCTTTGCAGGAACTGCCGCGAGAAGAACACCAGGTTCCTGTTGCAGGTCCTGCCGCCCATCCCCGAAGCGCTGCAACAACTCCAGCCCATCGAGCAGCACCTCATCGCCATGGCCCGGATCTCCCAAGTCTTGCTGGACAAGCTCCCTGCTGGCGGCCCAAGTGCCCAGTGGGGCCGAATGTACGCGGTGCTGGTGGACGACCCTTTCATTTGCGACGTCCTGGAGGGAGCCACGCTCGAGGAAGACGGCACCGTCCTGGTGGAGGGAGTGCAAGGACAGATGGCTTCCCCAGCTCGTCTGGACTGCCTACACAAAGCGCTGCGGGAGCTGAAAGCCCAGCACCGCCTGTACAAGGGAAATCCGGCGGTGGATGGAGCCCTGGCAAGAATGGAAGCGATCCTGGCCGGGACGCGGCCAGGCAGCGCAACAGCGCTCGCAAACCACGTGACCTCCCAAGGGCGCCAAACGGAGAAGTTCGGTGGCTCACACTCCTCGGCCTTGGGAGGCAGTGCGCAGACACCAGATGAGGAGACGGAAGCGCCGGAGCAAGAAGGCACGCTGGAGATGACGTACCTCATTCCTAAAGAATTGCATGCGCCCAGACCGCACAAAGCGGATTTGCAGAAGGCCCGCAGCATTGCAGCGCTCAGCGATGACATGGACGTGAAATTCTTCCCGCATTTGTTTCCTGCCGGCACATGTGGATGGCAGAATGCCTATGGGAGCATGTCGCAGTACGCGCGCAAACGCCTCCTGGGTCTGGATCCGCGCTTCGAGGCATCGCCGGCCTATATCATGTGGCTCCTGGAAATGCACATCAAGAAGCGCCTCTCGGGCAACATCAACGTGAGGATCGGCGGCCAGCCTCCAAACGGGAAGAGCAAGTACCAAGAAGGCAGAGGTCAAGTCTTCACGGCCCTGAGGGACATCCCGGGGACGAGCTCGTACGTTTTTGCCAAGAAGGGCGTGGCGCTGAACATGTACGAGCAACTGGGCACGCCCAAGTTCTTCATGACGCTCTCCTGCCACGCCCGACAGCCTGACATCCTGATCGCAGTCATCATGGCGCGGCTGCTGCGGCTGCGCCCCGAGAGTCAGCCCCAAGAGCTCGAGCGCGAAGCGGCGCACATCCTGCAGTGTTACCAAGCAGACAAGAAGTTCAAATGGGACGGCCTGTCGCCGAACCAGCTCTGCAATCAGTACCCCGCTATCGTGGCACGACAGTTCATGCACCAGCTGACCCAGCTCATGCATTGGCTTTCCACCGAGCATGGCGCAAGCAGCCGCATGGACGAGGGTGCAGATGCTCAGGATGAGCCAGAAGGCGCGCTCGAGGAAGACTTCATCCAGGCGCCAGCTGCCGACTCTGCAGGCCAGCATCGTGGGGTCCGCAAAGAAGACCCGCCATTCCGAGTCGTGGATTACCTCATCCGCATCGAATGGCAGAAGAGGGGTTACCCGCATGCTCACATCCTTCTCTGGGTGGTGGAGTGGGAGAGCAAGACTAAGCAGAAGCCCGGCGACAAGATGAAGGCGGCTCCCGGAGGCGAAGAAACAGAAGCAGAGGCGCAAGTCCCAGATTGGTCGGATGATGATGCAATGAAACATTTCGTTCCCACCTGCGCAGAGGAGTGGAGCGACAAGTACATCACCACCAAGGGTCCGCTCAGCTGGCGCCGATTCACGAAAGTCTCGGGTCGCGACAAGGAGCTCAATGCACAGCTGGCCGAATTATTGGTGCACAAGCACACCGAATATTGCGGCATCAAGACTCACGGTGCCTGCCGCTTCGGCTTTCCGCACAATCCCGAACCGCGCACGCGGCGCCGCAGCTCCCAAGAAAAGTATGCCAACAGCCGTTGGAAGAGCAGCCTCGCCACAAGGCGAGCAGAGGGCGACAAAGGCATGGGCCAGTACAACATCAAGATCCTTCGGCGGTGGCGGGCCAGCATGGACCTGCAGGTGATATGCGAGCTGACCAGCGCCAGCCGCTATATCCTGGGCTATGCCTTGAAATCGGAGCAGGACCAGGAGGCACAGCGGCGCGTGGAGAGCATTGTTGCCAGGCTCACCTCCAGCAGCGTGGCGGACGCGAGCCTCAGCAACCAGCAGATCTACAAGGCGGCGCACGCAGCATTGCAAGGCAGAACCACTTCCCCTTTTGAGGCGTGCCACCTGCTGCTGGGCTTCCCCGTCGTCCAGTTTTCGCGAGACAACGAGTGGATCCAGGTGGGACCTCCCGAGACGTGGACCCTGTCGGTGCCACAATACGACGAGAGCGCTGCCCTGCAACGGCCCGACAGCTACCGCCGCACCAAGGTCGATCGTGACGGACACATGCCAGTGGCACAGCGCTGGTATCGGGAGATGCAGACAGCATTCAGCGAGCAAGAGGTGGACGTCCCCGTAGAGGGCGGCAAGCCTACCGCCTGTCAATTTCGGGAGCTGAACTTCCTGGATTTCTGCGCGGCCTTCAAGTATATCGGGGTAGAATTCCCGCAAGCACGGAAGCGCCCGGCCATCGTCGGCTACCGCAACTTCAGCCCCGACCAGGAGCCGGAAGCTTTCTATTATTCCCGGCTCATGCTGTACACCGTGTGGAAAGACCCGGGA